TTTTGTTGACAACTTAGTTTGAGAAGAGATGCTTCTGGGATAAAACTAGATGTTTCTAATTAGCTAGACCCACTGGGAAATGAAAGAGATGTAGCTTCCTTGTACCTTGCAGATTATAATTGATCAGCTTCATTGCTTACTGTTTATGAAATAAAACTTCCGTGCTTTGACCTACGCAATGTTTGGACTGCCTGAACATATTTATGTGGAAATTCCTGGCAAGATATGAAAATTATGCCAAATGTGGCAGGAAAATAATTTCTCCTTGATTTTCAAGAAGAGTAAACACATTCTAGTAGTGCTTACTATACTGTTGGAAAGATTCCGTATAATCTACCTAAAAATATAATTGCATATGGGTTAAGTGCAGCTATGTTAGTCTGACAAATACACTAATTTTAGCTTAATTACAAAAAAAAAAAAAAAAGTTAATCTTAAACTTGGTGTCCTGTCATCCATTTTACACTCAAACAGATCCAGCAGTAGCTTGTGAATGGAACAGCATATTTTGCTGTCAGGTGCTTCTTACCATTAACGTAACACAGTGATACAGTATGCCTCAAAACGTATGTAATGGTGAATCTTAACAGAATGATTGTTTTACGTGTGACCTCAGGTAAGAGCCAAGATTAATTTCAATTAAGCGACTATATGGTTGTCATACTGCACATGTGTCTGTATATACTTGAAATAGAGTGGTCAGTGTATCGAAGGGCACTTACTTGCCAGCTCTTGCTCCTACCTAGCCTCTCTTTGCACTTCTTGAAACTACTAAAATGGAGCAATGCAACAGAACTCCAAAAGGTGTAATGTGCTGGCGAGCTGGTAAATTGAGCGGGCTCAAGGTGAGTGAAGTATGGAGAGCTGCAGAGCTGGTGCAGGGATGGAGCCATAGGGCTGGCAATGAGGGCACAAGGAAAAGGAGGTTCTGGGTAGGAGTGAGATCTCACCCTTTTAGTAGCAGTGAGCTCTGGATGGGCTCAGCTGCCACTTGCACGATACTGAAAATGTGAACATAGCTTCAACCAGTTATAAAACACAATTGACAATTAATAGTCCAGTGGGAGGACGATCAACCCTGGAATAAATAAATTTAAAAAATCCTCTGCTCTTGAAATTTTGAGAATTTTTGCTTCTTCTTTTTTTTTTTTTTTTCTCCTTCCTTCCTGCTGTTACTGCAGTTCATCCATTATGCTCTGGTGACCGTCTGCTTTGTGACTGGCAGAGACAGACCACGAAAATGCTATAATCAGTTAACAGAATCACAAGATTGGACTATGGAGTTACTCATGAATACGTGCTTGGAATATCCCTTAAGCTACAGTTACAGCGTGGTTTGCAATTTACGGTGGCCATTTAAAGACCTGAGCAATCTTAAATTAGCTAACTCTCCTAATAAAACAGTTTAGCTACTACAACAATGTGCTTGCCAAAACCATTTACTCTACCATCATGATCAGACTGTTTCCACGGCCTGCGTCAGATCTATTATCTCTGATTACTCAGTAGACACGCGGCATCTACTTGTGAATCCTGTTTTCCTTTTGTGAAGATTATTTGCTCACCTTTGTGAGCGTAATATAGTGTGACAATGAGAAATCATAGCACAGAAAGAATGTGACACCTAGTGGACAGAATGTGTTCTGGAGAGGTGTTAAAATTGTCAAGGAATAATAACACTAAAATCCTACCAAGTAGAACAAGTTGTTACCAGCAAAGACGTTGATCTTGAATGATTCTATGTGCAGATATGTAGCAGTTGGGTAGCGGAAATTCCCCTCTGGAGGCTCACAAGGGAGAAAGGGGTCAGAAATCATTTTAAAATGAGTGTTTTTTTGTTAACTACTGGCAGAATGAAAATGTCAGGTCAAGATGGCCAAGGCTCTGAAAAGACTAGGACCAAAGTCTGTGGAGAAACTGAGGATAGCAAGAAGATGCACCCAATCTGGAGATTTCCTACATGCAAAACTCAGAGATAAAGTATGCTTAAAAAGTTTTTTCTCTCTTATGTTTTTGTTATTGCCACATTACCTTGGCATGAAGTGAATTTTCACAGCCAGAGATACTCAATGATGAATAAACTACCTTATGGAATCAAGCAGACAAGACTGAGACACAATTTAATAAGTCTAATAAATGCTGCCCACATTAGCTCATGCAGCATCACTTGTGTTTGTGTCTGTTTTTCCCAAGCACAGTCCACAGTACCTGAATTTCAGGTATCCACATTTCTCCATTTTCTGGGGTGTCCTAATCCCTCACCGCTCATTGGGTGTTATAAAGTAAAAAGATAATCACCAGGAATTATTATGTTTTATCTGTGGTATATATGGTAAAGACCATACTTTTTCACTGTAGATTTTTTTTAATCTATGCATATTTTGAAATATTAACCAATAACCAGACGCCAGAGGAAGGGTAAAGCTTGCCCCCCAGGCAGGGCCAGTCGTCATTCTGGCTCTGTACACTGCTCTAAAGAAACTCGGACTGGGAACTTTATCTGTACTTGTCTATTCTAGTGGATTAGCCAAATGAAGTGGTCTCGTAGCTGACTGGTTTGTGCAAGGCTTGTTTTACCTGATACACTTTTATAAAGCTACTCTTGGTAGTTCAGATCCATCCACCCTGTTGGGCAGCGTGGAGTGTTCCTACCTGGCACAAACTAGCAAGGCAAGCACTGGGCTACGCAACACCAGTGCTTTTCAAACGCTTGGAGACAGTTTAGATCTGTATGTATTGTACAACTCTAATTTGGGGAGATACTGAATGTCCTCATATTTTCCAAAACAAAAAAACACTCCAGAGAACCTAGTTGAAAACCACATCCAAAAGCCCAGCAGGACAGCAAGCCATAGCTTGTCAATCTGCTCCTCAGCTTTAACATGGATATTTTGCAGTCACTTTTCTTCCTCTCAGCCACAAATGGGCACGTTGAAAATGAACTACACTAGTACCAGTATCTTGATATCACAATGCAAGCAATGTCCTCTTTCGGCCGCACAAAATGGTGTTAGAATTAGCCTTGCATTTATTACTGAGAATAACCTCTCTGCGGGGCAGCAAAGCAGACAGGCAGCACCTGGGGGTAGAGGGCGAGGCCGCCAACGGCCACCAACGGCCGCCAACGGCCACGCCACGCGCACACG